ATTAAGAATTTATTCTGGTTATCTCATAGCTGGAAGTGTATACCTTTTGACCACCTTCATCTCTTTCCCTCTGTTATTCTGCTCTCTTCATCTTGCATATTTTGTGTATCTGTAATTTTTTTTCTTGTTGTTGATTTTGGTTCTACATATCAGATCAAACAGTATTTATCTTTAAAATTTACAAAAAATATTGAGGCATTGTGATTTTACATGACTGTTGATGGTATCTATATTCATAAACCACTCCAGCATCACACTCACCACCAAGGTCCCAATTGCCTCCACCATTTCAACTTCCCATCCCGACTCTAAGCTAAATTCTTGGACCAACTATTTAGTTCCATGCAGTATTTATCTTTTATTGCCTGTCCCATTTTACTTGCATAATTCCCTAAAAATTCCATTTCATTACAGATGTTAGTATGTCTTTATTTATTTTTTGCCTTTTTTTGGGGGGGGGCGGGGAGACACACTCGGCAATGCACAGGGATTACTCCTGGCTCTGCACTCAAATTATTCCTGGCGGTGCATGGCCACGGCAAGACAAACGCCCTACCCGCTATACTATTGCTCCAGCCCCAGTAGATCTTTCTTAATGACTGCACAATATTACATTTTACACACACACACACACACACACACACACACACACACACACCTCACATTTTACATTTTATTTAATTATCCAAAGAACATGTAATTTGTTTCCATGTTTTTAATGTTGCAAACAGTATTCCAGTGGGGAGTAGGGAGGTAGTTTGGGTGAGGGGTGTATACCTTATGCTAAGGTTCCCAAGTGTTGTTCTCCATACCACATGGCCTTAACTGTAACCCCTTGTGCAGGTCTAGAGATTCCCAGAGTTCTGCCAGGCACCACTGATTTCCAGAGGTGTTGCATCCCCAGGATTCAGTATTGAACTGTCATCTGGCCTGGTAGAATATTGCAGAGTGGCTCGTGGGCTGCTTGTGCATTTCATTGCTCAGGAGGCTGCAGTAAACAAAAATCAAATTATGCAATAAATAAGGGGGTGCAGCTATCTTTGAGAGAATGTTTTCTCCCCCACTCTTTGGCTAAGTAGCCAAAAGTATAGTTGTTGAAGCACATGATAATTATATTTACTATTATTTTGGGGGATTCTCTTTTTCATTGTGGCTATCAAAGTTTACATTCCCACCAGAAGTATCTAAAGGGCTCCCTTTCCTCCACATTCCTGACAACACAACATTATTTCTTGGGGTGCAATCTCATTGTGGTTTTGATGTTCCCTAAGGATTTTTAGGTATGAAGGAAGCAGGTTTTATGATCTGTTGACAGTTTGTATGTTGTATTTGAAGAAATATTCATCCCCCTCTTTTTTTGTGGTGTCAGGAATCTAATCCTAGGACTCATACATACAAGGTGGTCCTAAATTTCAGTCTTTTTTCAACTTTAAAACATACTTTTGACATATACTGGCAGAAGATTTATCTTAGATGCTCAATTTAGTGCCTTAGAGAAACCCTAACTGAAAGGGGACTTTACATTTTAAAGGAGTAAGAATGATGTCTTCTTTAGAGAATGATAAAAAAAAATATAGGTGTGAATTTTGGGGAGATGTTACCTTATTTTTTTGGGAGGGGGCATATCTGGCAATGGTCAGGGGTTACTCCTGGCTTTGTAGTCAGAGATCACTCCTGGCAGGGCTGTAGAGGCCATATGGGATGGCAAGGAATGAACCCAGGTTGGCCTGTGCAAGGCAAGTGCCCTACCCACTGTGATATATTTCTGGCCCTGAAGATGTCACCTTTTAAGACAAAGGTAGACAGAACTGCTTAGAATAAATTAGGTGGTGATTTTAACACTGATATTGAGAAAATTTTCTACTTCATCTGAACCATAGCTGCCTCTTTTATTATATTGTTGCAAGTGATATGAGATGACGTAGCAATTATTATAACAACAATAAGGATAGTGAGGAAGTGATAGAACCATGTCAAATTGATTAATAAGGTCTTTTTTTAAAATTACCTGCCAGTGATTTACTCATTACCAATTGATGAGGGAATCTTATGATTGGATTTGAGCATAGTAGAAATAATTGCTTAAACTATTTTATGCAAGTACCAAAAAATAGTTCATATTATTGCTAATTCTGAAAAATAATACACTTAGTGTTTTTCATTAGTAGTGAAACCCCTAAAATATTCCCCCTTGGCAAGGTTTTTAATTACTTTGCTATACACAGTGGTGCTTAGGACTTACTCTTGGCTCTGTGGCTCAGGGATCACTCCTGGCAGTGTTCTGGGGACTATATTGAATATTGAACATGGGTCAGCTGTGTGTAAGGCAAGCATTCTATCTGCTGTTCTACTTATATGTTCCCCACCCCTATCCGTTTTTGGTTTCACACAAATCACTGTATCACTGTATCACTGTCCTCCTGTTGTTCATGGATTTGCTCGAGCGGGCCCAATAACATTGTGAGACTTGTTACTGTGTTTGGCATATCGAATTGTCATGGGTAGCTTGCCAGGCTTTGCCATGCGGGTGAGATACTCTCGCTAGCTTGCTGGGCTCTCCGAGAGGGGTGGAGGAACCGAACTCTGGTCGGCCATGTGGGCTGCGTGCAAGGCAAACGCCGTACCCACTGTGCTATCGCTCCAGCCCATACTGGAAAAAAGTACTAACATATTCAGGAAAGTCATGCATCCCCTCAATTGGAAAAAGTAGCTCCAAACTTACCTGGCTGAAGAAACACCTTTGGCACTTTTATTGACTGTTAATATGTTACTGTGACATTCTTTAGCTCCCTATACATTTCTCAGATGTTGATACTTGGTATCTTTTGTGAGGTCATCAATGGCATTATCTAGAAGAAAGAATCAATGATTCTAAGCTAAAGTCATTAAACCACAAAGCTCACATCTAACTGCCAAACTGCTGTCTCTGTGGGGGTGGTGGCATACACATTACTTAAGTAACTAGAACTAATTTTTAATATTCTGTTCCTATTTGTGAGTGGCAGCCAGTTAGCCTGGAGCTATCATGCTCTCTCAGCTTCTAGAATTCCTCTGGTATGATAGACTCATATGTGAACATCTATAATAATACTGGGAGTGGTGATGCTAAGCCATGACAAGTAGGTGCCTTCCAAGTTAGTCAAGATAAAAAATTCACTATCAGACAGTCTTGCGCATAAGATTTTACATATGGTTGGCTGAAAGATGAATCAAGACCTCTAACATAGCAAATGTTTGGAAAGGGGATGGTTGATGTGGAAGGGGCAGGAAGTGAACAATTTTGCAGCAGCAGAGATTGTAGGCATATAAAATACTTTTCTGGTGAAACTCTTTTTTGGGGGGTTGTGTGGGGGAAATCAAAGAATTGAGGGTTCGTAGGACTGGGTGGATGATCGAGGCATATTTCACAGGACTGGGATCTTCTTAGTCTATTGTCCAGAAAGGCATGATAATTTTAGTAAGAAATGGGTCTTAGAAATTAGAAAATTTTCAGAGGAAATGAGATCAGTACATAAACAAAATTTTAAGAAATGTCAACTTTTGCTATTAATTTTTTTATAGTATATCAGAATAAATTTTCTGAAGAATTGTATTTATCCACTGCATTCAAATTATTTGATTTGGGATGGTTATGTAAAAGATTTTATCTATCCAGTGTAGACTCAAATATTTTAATTAATGTAGTTTATTTTGTAATATTACGTGGTCTTTCGTGCTTGGCATGAAAATGGAATTCAAACACTTTTGTAGTGGCACATATTAAGCACCTTTTTGTCTATAGAAGGAGAAGGTGTGTTGTTCAGGCAAGTCAGAGTTCCACCTAGTCAGAGAATGGGCTGGTGGTTTTCCAGGAAGATGTCTGTGTACCAACGGCTATAATGAATGATATTTCTAGGCGTGTCACATTGCTTAATATCAGCTCTAAGATAATGATCCTTTTGTCTTATTTTACAGAATAAAATCTAGTTAAGTTTTGGGGTGGGTGTTCCATTTGTATGTAATTTTTTTGGTGTGTGTTCTGAAAAATAAAGTGTCAAGAAACCTTCAAAATTTCCATTAGTCCAATAGTGTATAGTGAATGAAATTTCTAGACATGTCACATTGCTCAATATCAACTCTAAAATATTTATTCTTTTGTCTTGCTTACCAGAATAAAAGCTGCTAAGTTTTTTGGTGGGATTTCCATTTTTATGCAACTGTATTTTTATTTCTGAAAGATTAGTTGTCAAGAAACCATCAAAATTTTCATCATTCCAATAGTGGGATAATTCTTAGAGAGTGTGAAAAAGTCAAGGGCTAATACAGTGCAAACCTTTATTTGGAAAATACAGTGAGCACGGAAGAGTGCTTGGTCTGCATGTTTCCCCAGGAAACCGTTGTAATGCAGCTCTGGTTAGGAGAAAACAATTTTGCATTGTTGAACCTATCACTTCGCGAAGGGGTCAAGGTATTGCTTCTTTGGCTCTTTTAGTAAAGAGTCACTATTTTAGATATAGAAACATAAGTGTGTTGGCTTTGGCTTTTAGTGAGAACTTCTTTAAAAATAGGAAAACTTGGGAATCGGCTGCATTGTACTGTCATTGGAATTAAACCCTTGCCCAAGACCCTGAGTCAGTTCATTGACACAGGCAGTGACACAAGACTTCTAACAGGTCTCTGTGTGGAGGGGATTAGCAGTTGAAAAAAAATGCAAGTTCAGCATGCAGTTTTGTCAGGTTCTTTTTGACTTCATATTGTTTATATATCTCATTTTCTCTTAATTTGCTATTCACTTAAAATTCCTTTTGTTAGCTAACATTTATGTGGTGAATTCCTGTCTAGGTTTTTTGTGTGTGTATTGTTTTGAATTGTGACATTCAAAGTAGTATGTTAGTAACTTCCTTGTTCTGTGTTTTCTAGTTTAGCAGAGTTTTATGTTCTCTATAGTCTCTTTATTATTGTGATTGTTATGTGGTAAAGTCCCAATTAACATTTTTGTTTCCTTTCCTTTTCCTTTATAGGCTAAGAAATGGCATTTCAAAAGGCAGTGAAAGGGTCCATTCTTGTTGGAGGAGGTGCTCTTGCAACTGTTCTTGGCCTCTCTCAGTTTTCTCATTATAGAAGAAAGCAAGTAAGTAATCGCATATGTATTGATTATAATACAGCACTTAAATCTATGGAACATATGTATGTTAATGCTTTTTCTTTGTTGTTGTCTTAACTTGACCTGAAAGACACAAATTAAGAATATTGCCAAATTATCCTTGAGAATTATTTATTCTGCTTTTCAAAAAATAACTTTATCAGAAAGTATTATATTTTTTTACCCTTATTTTGGCTCTTTGGTTTTAAAAGACTGCTTCATTTGGGAATGCCAGGGTTTGTTCATTCAAGCTTTCCTCATCTAATTCATCCAAGTATCTGGACACCTTCTGTGTTCCTGCCAAAAGTTTGTCTTGTGAGAAGGCAGGCAACTGAGAAAGGAAATGGAAAAGAAAGAGTTTATACAAAGGACCCAACTCTGAATCCTGGTTTTGTTTCTTAAAGGTTTAGTTACTTATGTAGAACTCCTTTATATTGGGTGAACTTTTTAAGTGGGGCATAGGCATGGAAAGTGAGAGTAGCATCAAATTTTCTACTTTAAAGTAGTAATTTAACATTTCATTTTATTTTTTTCCTTTGCACCATATCTTTTCCCTTTATCTGTGCCTTCCTGTAGTTTGAATTGATGCAGGAAATAATTTTGGTGAATCATTTTCTGGGATTGAAATGCTGGTAGTTTCCCCCTGTGCTCAGTCTCCTGCTCACTCTCCCTCATGCCATTAGGACATTTTGTGCTACAACTAGGTGGAACATTTCCCGTTCAAGACATGGAGGTAAAGGAATTTGGAAAGTATTTTCTGTACTCTGTGAACTACTTATTTTCTACATTTCTTTGAGAACCTTTAAGCTGTGAATTGACTTGAAACTTTTTTTTTCCCCTGTTAACCTGGCAGTGGCTTGGAGCAGATGTCGCTTAGAGTCCCAAGTGTCTAATAAGAAATGCTACTTTAAAAATGCATTTTTAATAATGTAATTTGCTGACTTACAGTTTTAAAAAGATTTTTATTAGATGCCCATGTTTTAATGCGTCCTTCTAAAGATGAATGGTGTGGAAATGGTTAGATTTGTCCTTTTCTTTAGAAAAGTTTTTTTTTTTTTTTTCGCTTTTGGGATTACACTCTTTAGTGCTGAAGGCCTATTTTGGGCCCAGTTCTTGGGAGGAATTGCGATGGTAAATAGGGGACCATGCATTGCAGTACAGGGGGTTGAACCCACGAGTCCAGCATGCAAAAAGTGTGCTCCAGCCCTTTAAGATATCCCTGAGGGAGGCCAACAAAATAGCATAGCTGGTAGTAAGGTGCTTACCTTGCACATGACTGACTCTGGTACAATACCCAGCATCCCATATTGTCCCCTGAGCACCACCAGTAGTGATTCCTGAATGCAAATATAGGTGTAACCCCTGAACTTCTCTGAGTGTGGTCCCAAAACAAAACCAGAATATCTTCCAGAACTCATCTTTTTTTTGTTCTTAATTGTGAGTATATTGCATATATTGCAGGTATTTATTTACCACCTTGCTTTTAAAACTCATCAGGCATGTTACACTATTTCTTTAGAAATGTTGAAAATAAATGTGAAAAATTCTTGCCCCTGCTGAGGCTATTTCAGAAGGGCAAATCTGTTTTGAGACGTGGACTTTACGGTTTAGATGACTTTTGCCACATTTACCAGTACTACTTGAAAAACAAAGAAGGTCAAAGGTCATGATATCTAATATATGATGTGTTGTTCCTAAATTTGTACATGGTTTATGTCTGTTAACTACAGTAAGCTTATTCTACCTCAGACTTTACAACTTCACTTTGGACCTAGGCGATTCTATTTAACACATGCATCTTATTTCTCTTTAATAGTTGATCTCATAGAAGGGACAAAATAGATGATACCATCCTCAATCTGAGCCTGAGTGAATTTTGTTTAGCAAAGTCAAGGCAAAAAAACAAAAACAAAACAAAACAATCACGCAGAAGTGCCTGTTGGTTCTGGGACATTGTGTTATCCTCTCCTTCTTAATTGGACATCCTGATCATCCATCCTCATAGAAATGTCAAATAGATAAATCATTTTTAAGTCACTTACAATTTTATTTTTTATTTTTATTTATTTTACATTCAGGGAGCCATACCCAGCAATGCTCAAAGGCAACTCATGTCTCTACAGTCAGGAATTACTCTTGGCAGTGCTTGGGGGACCATATGGGATTGAACCTGGGTCATCCATTTGCAAGGCACTTGCTTTAACTACTATACTGTCTCTCCAGCCCCTTAAGTGACTTACAATTTATGTCTGACAAGTTCTTTTGAGAAAAATCACCATATGCATATTTCAGTCAGTGAGTCGCATAAGATATACTTCCAAGAGTGTGCATTTTTTTGAGTTGTAATTCCTGTCCCTTTAGGCCACTTCCATGAGCATATATATTTTGGGGTAGCAGGTGGGATGTAGCCAAAGGGATTGACAAAACAGAGAAGAAAAAGGGAGGATGGAGGTGGGGGGAATAACTCATTTGAGCCATTGACATAAAATGACCCCAGGCCTCAGCTGTCCTCTTTCAGAAAGTGTCTGCCAATCAGAGTCATTCTGGGCAAAAAAAATTTTCTTGACTCAATAGTCAAGAACAATTTGGCCCTTGATACCCATTCTCTGGCAATGTCCTGTGGACGCTTTGGCTTTAAAATGTGACTGACTAGGCATGCTCCATTTTTCTGCAGAATGATTCTGAAAGTGTTGGCTTGTACAGTTATATTAATTGTATTTTTCTACATTTTCCACATTCTAAGATGTTTCCGGTGGCTCAGCAGACCTCCTTTTGTAAGACTTAGCTGGTCTTGCAAGCCTGTGCTAGTGGTGTAGGAGAAAGCTGGCTGTGACTTCAAGTTCAGGCACACTTTGCTGGCATTCCTGCACTCTCAGCTCTGTCTCCCTGGTCCTTGCTTGTGCTCATTTGATATTCCCGGTACAAAAACTTCCCTCCTAAAATATAGCAGGGGTTGTGTTCTCCTACTGAAGGGCTGGTTTTAGTAGCTGCTGAAATGTCAAAGCACATTAGGGGGCCGGGGAGATGACTCAAAGGACTGAAGTATACGTTATGCATGCAGTAGCCCTGGGGTCTGTTCCTGGAACTATATGGTTCTCTGAGCACCACTGGAGCGGCAACTCCCCCCTCCCCCCACAAATAAATAAAAACATATTTGGTGATAAAATAGTGTTAGAGTATTTAGGTGCCAGGTGAGCTCACAATTGCCTAAATAAACTTTGCAGTTAAAATAATGTCTTTACAAGGACAAAGAGTGAGATATTCAAAGTATATACATAAAATGTGTATACTTTTTTTAGTAAACAGAACACACAATGGAGTCTGATAAGATATGCAACTTTTTGCCAGTTGCTTGCATAAAATCTGTGAGGTGACCAGGAAATAGAGACTTGTGGGGACTGTCACTTCTTGGCAGGTTGGGGTTAGAAGTGATAGCCATGACTTGTTTTATGTTGCCTGTTTTTTTGTTCATACAAGTGAGTGTTTCTTTTTGGTCATTCCTGATGCTGATCAGTGTTTACTCCTTGGTCTATACTCAGGAATCACTCCAAGTAGTGCTCGGTATACCATATGTGGTACCAGGCATTGAACTGGGATTTGCTGCTTGCAAGTCAGGAAGCATCTTACCCACTGTGCTATCTCTGCAGCTCCAAATATCTTTTAATTTTTGTTTTTGGGCCCACACCCAGCTGTGCTCAGGTCTTACTCTCCATTCCATGCTCAGGGATCAAACGTGGAGGCTCTCAGTGGACTTTTTATGGTGCCAGGCACTGAACTGGGTCAGTTGCATGCAAGACAAGTAACATAAACTCAGTAGTATGTCTCTGGCCCCTTATGCAAGCACTTGGTTAACATTTTATCAATTTATCAGTGGTGAACATTGTCTGTTGACTTAGTGAAGCCGAGAGATAAATGTTTTTTTCTTTTCTTTTTCTCTTTCTTTCTTTCTTTCTTTCTTTCTTTCTTTCTTTCTTTCTCTTTTTTTATTATTTTTATTTTTTTGAGCTTGGTAGATTTAGAAAGGGCCATTGATTGTGGTGGAATTGTGGTGGAGGAGAGAACTATCACTATTACTTTTGTTTTTTGAAATTGGTCTATATAAATCTTGGATGTTAATAAAGAATCAGATTGGGGAAAGGAAAGGAATATTGGCTTGCTTATTTTAACCATGTCTACCCTCAAGGGAAGGAGGTTTGTGACCACAAGTGGCATCCAGATACTTAAGCTCGTTCAGTTACTCATAAGATGGCTTTTTGAGTGGGTTTGGAGTAACTTCCTAAAATAATTTTACTTTTCCCTTCTCCTCTGATTTCCTCACCCACAAGGAGGTGAAAAAGTTTCCACAAACTTTTCTTGCTTTTCCTCTCCCCAACCCTGCCATGTGGCAAAGAACAGGGATGAGAGTGGGTTGCCAAAGCATTCTACTGCTCCGTGAGGTCCCACCAAGGAGATAACTCAAGGTGCTTCCTAAGCTTATTTGGAAAAAAAAAATCATCTCTCAGCAACCTCCATCCTCACCCCGCCCCAACATCTGCCTTTTTGGGTTGTTTTTGTTGGAGGGGGCAGACCCAGTGATGTTCAGGGATTACTCCTGGCTTTGCTCTTAGGAATTATTCCTTGAACAAATTATTCCTCTTAGGAATTATTCCTTGGGGGACCATATGGGATATCGGGGATCAAACCTGGGGTGGCCCCATACAAGGCAAGTGCCCTACCTGCTGTACTACTATTCTAGCCCCTAATCTGCCTTTTTTAAGCAAACAAATTTAAAGTTTTTCTTCCTTGCACCCAGGAGGCTATTACTCTTGCTGCCTTTCCCACCACATGCTTTTGTAATGTTAATATCATACTAAAGCTTTAATTATTATTATTACTGTAGGGCGTTTGTCTTGCAGCAGTCTACCCATCAGCCTACCCATCGGACCCAGGTTTGGTTCCTCCACCCCTCTCGGAGAACCTGTCAAGCTACCAAGAATATTTCACCTACA